GTCATCCGCGCGGACCTCTTCGTCGCCGAGACGACGTCCGCGCCGACGGCCCTCGACGTCGACGGCGCCGCCGGCGTCCGCGCGACGATCGCGCTCGTCGCCGCGGGCCTCCTCGCCGCGGCGCTCCTCTAGGCGCGCGCGCGCCAGAGCCAAAGGCCCAAGGACCCGCCGCGCTGGGCCCGCAGGGGCGCCAGCGCGCCGCATCCCCCACTGTACCCCGCCCCCGAGTTGACAGACGCCTACCTAGCCGCATGTCTCCCCGTCGAAGCGACCCCGCCAACGCGCGGGTCGACTTTTCTGCGCGTTACGCGGCGGATCTTGCTTTTGGTTTCGGGGGGTGTCGGAGAGCGCGCGAGGGGGGCGTGGTATGGGCGCGGCGATCACAGGTCGTCGTCGTCCATGGGGCGGTCGTGCGGGTTCACGAGGCCCGGGACCGCGAGGCGCGCGGCGTTCTGCTGCTCCGCGACGGCGACCTGCTGGGCCGCGCGCTCCTCGGAGTAGAGGTCCTGGTTGTTCTGCTCGCTGAACTCCTTGAGCTGGATGAGGAAGTCGCGGAGGTGCGTCTTGAACGTCGGCAGGTCCATGCGCAGATCGAAGAGGCCGACGACGAAGTCGACGATCTGCTGGCGGCTCAGGTTCGGGAACGACGTGCTCAGGAGGTTCGCGACGTGGTCCCGGAGGAAGGCCTGGTTCGACGGGTACTTGGTCGGGTCGTCGAAGAGGGGCGCCGTCACGTGGCCCGCCTCGACGAGGTGGAAGAGGTGGCGGAGGAGCGTCGCGTGCATCTTGAAGCCGCTCTTGTGGAGCCGGTCCGTCATGACCGCGAGCACGTCCTGGATGAGGGGCAGCACGAAGGCGCGGTAGAAGGGCTGCTTCGCGTCGTCCACGGTCCGGCCGACGTTGAGCAGCAGCTCGTAGAGGATCTCCAGGCCCGTGTCCGCGACGTTGCGCTCCGTGTGCTTGAACGCCCAGACGACGCTGTCGACGACGAGCTTGTGGTGGGCCACGGGGATGGCGAAGAGGGCCGCGAAGCAGTGCGTGTTCACGGCCTTCAAGAGCTTGAAGAACGCGAGCCGGTGCTCCGGGAAAGTCCTCGAAGTTGCGCGTGATCATGCGCAGCGTCGGCTCGAAGACGGCGTCGAGCACGCGCGGCACCTCGTTCGCCACCAGATCCCGCAGCTTGTCCACCGTCGCGGCCAGCAGGTTCAGCACGTCGCTGTCGCGCGCCTCGACGATGGACCGCCGGTAGTCGTTGAGCACGGGCTCGAGCAGCGGCGGCACGAAGGACGTCGCGACGAGCGGCGGGGGCGCCTCGGGCTCGCCGCACTTCTCGACGAAGGTCGTCAGCAGCCGCAGGATCTCGCGCTTCGCCGCCCGTAGAGCTCGCACGTCCGCGG